GGTATATTAACCTGTTGAAGTTGAAGAATCAAATTAGGATGAAAAAGGACTCATACAGCCATCTTTCCTCTGCTAAAAGCAGAGGGAAATACCCCTGTCAGTACTTGAGTTAGATAAGCAACACAGATCCATTCTTAGATGTTACAATGAGAAGTACTGGCTCCTTTTTCCATCTACTGAACCTCTTTCATAATCATGGGTTAATCCTCTTCAAAAATCTGAAAACAGTATGACTAGAAAAGCCTTTCCAATGGCTGGGTTGTAAATCTTAAGGACTCATATCTGCTCCAGAGCTTTTCTTTTGAAATCTTCTCTTTTTGCAAGTTTCTCAGCAGAAATTTGGCAACAGAATGATTGAGGTTGGAAGGGACCTCTGGAGATCATCTAGTCCAACCCCCCTGCTCAAGCAGGGTCATTTAGAGCACATTGCTCAGGATTGTGTCCAGATGGCTTTTGAATATTTCCAGTGAAGGAGGCTCCACTATCTCTCTGGGCAACCTGTTCCAATACTCTGTCACCCTCACAGAAAAAAAGTTTTTCCTCATGTTCAGACAGAACTTCCTGTGTTTCAGTTTGTGCCCATTGACTCTTGTCCTGTTGCTGGGCACCACTGAGAACAGTCTGGCCCCATCCTCTTGACACCCTCCCCTTAAATACTTACATTGATCAGATGTCACCTGAGCCTTCTCTTCTCCAGGCTAAACAGGTCCAGCTCCCTCAGCCTTTCTTCAGAGGAGAGAGACTCCAGTCCCTTAATCATCTTGGTAGCCCTTCACTGGACTCACTCCAATAGCTCCATGTCTCTCTTGTACTGGGAAGCCCAGAACTGGACACAGTACTGCAGGTGAGGCCTCACCAGAACTGAGTAGAGGGGCAGGATCACCTCCCTCCACCTGCTGGCAACACTCTGCCTCATGCACCCCAGGAGACCATTGGCCTTCTTGGCCACAAGGCCACATTGCTGGCTCGTGGTCAACTGGCTGTCCACCAGCACTCCCAGGTCCTTCTCTGTGGAGCTGCCTTCCAGCAGGTCAGCCCCCAGCCTGTGCTGGTGCCTGGGGTTATTGCTCCCCAGGTGCAGGACCCTGCCCTTGCCTTTGTGGAACTTCATGAGGTTCCTCCCCGCCCAGCTCTCCAGCCTGTCAAGGTCCTTCTGAAAAAATGGCGACAAGTTCAAAGAACAAATCCAAAAAATTGGCAAATTATTATTTTCAAAGACATAACTTATTTCAAATTAATAACTTTAAATGATCATTTTCAATCAACTACACTAGGAAATTTGATAATAAAAACACTTCTTGTGACCTACACTGAATTTAATGGAAAGATTGCTGTTGACATGGCTGTTTCTAGCGTAGTTCCTAAATTCTCTGATGCCATGCAGGTTTTATTTCAATAATACTGCTGAAGTTTCTGAGATCAAAACTCCTGGACTGTTCCATAACATGAAATACAAAGTTATTATATTGTAGTTATTATACTGTATCATATTGTATTATACTGTTATTATACTAAAAGCAGGAGGTTATCATTTGAAAGTGAGATTGTATGGCATATATTATCATATAAACGATCATTCTATTTTAAAAGCTAAGGTATCTCCTTAACTATTTATATTTGTTTCATATTTATAGATGGAAAATATAAAAAAAAGCATTATGTATCCAATTAGACAGGCAGTCCTTATCCTATTCTTTGACTGAATACTTCTATACAACAAAATAAAGATACTAAAAATTAAACTCTTAAAAACTGTTTGCATACCATAGGCATGATAGCCGTTCCTGCAATTTTTCATACTTCATCTGAAGCCTTACATCCAGCAGTAAGAAGAAAAAAAAAAAAAAAACAGTTGATAATCTCTTCAGCATACAACATGCCGTGGTAGGGGAAAAACAGGGCTCTGAACAAAATGAAGTCAAATTCCCTTGCATTAAAATAGAAAATGTATAACCACCACCATGTCACCTCTTGGACAAGAGCCCGAAACAAAATATTACAATGAAAGAAATGATTTCTTAATTTTAATTCTTTACCATGTGGTGAGGAAGAACTAAGAGCTGTCTAAAACAGAAGAGGTTTTACAAAAACACCAATGTGGTTTATACAATTTTACGCTTCCACATGGCCACTGGGCTTTTAAAATTTGTACTGCTTAAGTGAGTGTTGGGGAAAGTATGTGTTAGTAGTTGGCAACTAAAAATCAGCTGAAACAAAGGAGGTATGTGGGGACGGTGAGAGGAATAGTGGGCCAAGCCATAGCCATTCTGCAGAGGACCTCCAGTTCCCTCCTGGGTCTCGGCTTCTCAGCACCCACACTGCATGTTAGTCCTCTCACATGGTTGCTTTTGCAATAAACCAGCCAACTTCTAAGCAAAATCAAAATGTGTCTCCTCGATTCCTCACTGCAGGTACCGTTGATTTAGTATGATGAGACTGCACCAGGTTTGGCTCTCTCTACCTTACACAATCCTTCAGCACTATCTGATCAGGATTTACAATTTCAGGTGCCTCCACATGCCCTGATACTATTCTTCAGGGCATGTAACACATTCCCTCAGTTTCATGCTATATAATTAGCATTCTGATGAGCTGCAGCTCAATTCTCAAAATTCTTTCATGCATTTTGAAAGGAAAAAACAAAAGCAGAACATGCATGCATACACATGGCCTAAAATTGACCTACTTTATAGATCCACTTTATAGAATGCATACAATCTTCTCTAAAGAAGGCTATGACTGAGTAGTGTGGATTTAAGCAACTCTACACTACTTGGCCAAGGACCAGACATCATTCCCTGGAACGGATGCATTTAGCAGTGCCAATCTTGCCACAGACTGGCAGACAGAAACGTGATTTACAGTATTATAAGGCCACAACCACATCAGACTCTAGCAATTCCTTGGTGAATACAAAATAGTATCTTACCAATAATAGAGTGATATTCAGCCACCGTAGAAATCAGAACTTTTCTTTTCAAGATGTTAATTCAGCACTGATTAAGTGCTTTTCAGTCTGGCTCAGGGCCATCAATGTACCCACTATTTCACGCTCTTCTTCAGGAAAAGGTTTGTACACTTAGCATAGAGTTACAGTAGTTAAGACTCAGAAGGCAAAATGATGGGTGAGGTCCACAGCAGTGGAAATTTTGTGCATGTCTACCGAACTCCAGAACACACTTTCCTTGAATATGATGCATTTGCTGCTGTGGTTGTTATAGCTGCCACAGACATATCACAATAGTGTAAACATCTGTCACATTCTGCACGTTGCCTTGATTGGGTTGTGCGTGACCCCTTAGGCAAAGACAGGCGGATCACATGCTATTTCACACATCTGCTGTAGTAATTCCAGCCGGTCCTTTATAAGCGGGCACAGATGAAGGAAGACTGCAGAAAAAAGAAAAAAAAATCCAAAATAGACCCCCAAACCTTTTCCCTTAAAACTGGTCAGAACAGAAGTATCAACCAGGTAAAATCCCATCTTCTACAAGTTTCAGTAGCTTTGTAAGCAACGAAATTTGGTTTGATTGCTCACAGACTCAGCATACTGCAAATGCAGCAAAAGAGTGATGTAATTTACATTGTTTGTAAAGTGGAAGGGAAAATATAAATGATGCTTAATTCTCTTCTCCAGTATACACTTATAACTTTGGTTATTCCAGTGTAAAACTGAAAGAACCATGTCCACTGTATTGGTTGTAATAATGCGAATTTTACAGACTCTGATTTGATTACCTTTATTAAATAAAATTCCAATATATGCATGCCAAAGAAGCTTTTCGCTATTGTTATTTATTTCATGTTAAAGATGGCTCCACTTACAAGGAAGGTTAGCTTGGTTAACTGTAGATAACAGATTGGCCAACTTATATGACATCCAGCAATGGAAAGAGGAAATTCTACACTTTAGAGTCTTTAGAGTAAGCAAAGAGACATTCAATAAAAGCTGAGAAAAAGTATTCATTTTTAATATGAAAAGTCAAATCCTTTCTCTCATCCGTCCAAATTTGTTCCCTACAAAATAGCCAGTGGTTTATCCAGGTCTCATTTAAGTGCAAACCTACAAAAGTAAGGAACACATGAAATAATTTTTTGTAGTAAGTAGAAGCACCAAGAAACAAGAAGTCACACAAAGAGCTATTGCCCTGGGCATACTTCTATTAATTTCCGTTTTTGTTAAGAGCTCAGTGAACTAGTTCTTTTTTGATATGGTTTAGTTTTGTTCAGTTTTAGCTGACATAGAAAATTTTATAAATGCATTCTAAAATGCAGGTACCTCAACAAAACCATTTATCGATGCTATCGCATTTTTTAATGATTTTGTGGTCCCATAACCATAATGAATTAAGAAAATAACTAAAATGCCAAGTTTTTATTGTCTGAAACTTCCACAGGGACTAATAGGTCTGACATTTTTAAAATGAATCCTTTAAGGAGCATGAAATTTGCACACAAGCATGCACATACACACACACCAACCCCCTCCTTCTACACAAATCAGTCCAACCTTCCTCAAATTTTTCTGGCAAGTTATAAAAAACAAACTGATTCATAAAATGAAAGAAGAATAGAAAGGGGAAGAAATGAGACTGAGAAAATTGAAAAGAAAAAACTATATGCATTTTCTTCCAAATCTGGGAGATACACAGCATTTCAAATAATCATTCTAACATATAGAAAGATGTTTCTTTTTTAAAAAAAACTACTGAAAAAAGTCTATCTATAACAAGGTATAGAAATTCCTACTGCAATGGTGTTAGAGCATAATGATTTTCTTCCTGATTTTGTATAAATAATAAAGGACTGCTATGAGTGACAGTTTTCCTGCACCTAGCTCAGCAGCAAACAAGAACAGCAAATACTACCATGTAATCTGTAGAGAAATATTTCCATTCTTGAGTTAGTGTTTAAAATTTTTTTAACATCAGTTTGCTTTTATTATAGGATTCGATTTTTGTGGCTTTTTTATTATATTACTTCTTGTAAGACCAGAAAAAATCACAGATACGTTTCTTATAAATCTTTCCTCTGTACTGAAACCCACAGATACAAAGCTGTTATGCCTTTTGACTAAGGCAGGTTTTAGAATAGTTTATTCTGAATCTTAGCAGACAACAATTCATCAAGCACAACAGTGATGCTACTATACTCTGTAACTGTTCTGTCAAACTCTATAGTGTAAATACAATCCTACTTATAAAGGCTTTCCAGTTAAATCAAGATTCTTAGCACCATTGTAAAAGCTATTGCAAACACACCCAAATATTTTCTTCAAATTACAAGCAACAATTCAAATACATCAACCAATTCAATGAGCCCCAGGCTAATCCCTTGGGCTTTGCCTCCATGATAGGTGGAAAAGTGCATGTTTTCAATTGAACTAGTTCCATCAAACCAGCATAACATGACTGAATACATCACTTAACATCAGTCTACAAACAGTGCCACTGCTTAACTAGAAAAAAAAAAGATTCTATCTAAAATTAGCTTAAGGTAATCAACTCATATAAAATCCTCATAAACATAAAGCAGTTATAGTTATAATTTGGGTGTTAGTCAAGGCAACATAGTTTTACTCCAACCATTTAACATCCATTAAAACTAGAGAGAATTCATCTTAACCAGCATTTTAACATGAACTAGATGCATGAGTTATTTTAATATGGAATGAAAATACAACTTTTTTTGCTGAGTGGCCAGGCTCATTAATGTGTGTAATTTTAGCTAGTGGTACAATAAATAAGGCCCACAGGAAATCATGGCAGGGTGAGGAGGAAAAGATTAACTCTATTTCAAACATGGAGATGGGTAACTTGAAGTAATATAGTAACACGGGTTTAATGTCAGCACTTATGATGAGAGCCTCTGCACTGACAAGGGCTGACAGTGAAGCCAGGGAGAGACTTCATCTCTGTGTGCAAGAAGCAGAAGAGGTGTGTCCCAAAGACCTGGAAGGAAAAAAAACTGCTTGTACGTTATTTGTTCTTTTCACATTTGAAGGAAAGATGAGATGAATACATTAAGTTCATAAACTGCCCTCAAACACATTACATGCATATTATTTGGCATATTATTTGGAAACTTTTTTTTTCTTTTTCTATTGGAAACCACCTGGCTTGATGATGGCAAGAGAAAACAACAGGCACACTCCATCAGTGAAATACAAACTGTGCTCAAATTCCTTTAGCAAATGGGTCATTGGCCCATGTACAGATCACTCTGTATAAGCATAACTAAAGATGCTTGGCAAACATAAGCAGTAAGACTGTTTCAAAATCAGCCAGGTGACAATACAGGCAAGAAGAGTTTTGATCTGCCCACAGGATTAACTGTCTGAAGTACCTGAATTTTGCCTAGCTCCTCCACCCCAAAATATGGTACCTTCAATCTTTTTTATTAAACTTATATACCTCCTATGGATACAAATAAAAGTTTTAATATGGATACATTTTTAGTTGTGATTGTGCCATTTAAGTACTAGTCCGAGGGAGCATGTCATTTGAGATACCAGATTTTCAAAGCTTTCTGTAATATTTAACCATTTGACTGTATGATTATGTTTCTTATGCTAGCTTTCTTCCCACCTGTTCCTCACCCCCAGCAAAACCTACAGAGGTATAACTATTCAAAGAAATGATAAATCTACATATTAATAGATAAATAAGACAGCTTGTGAAATTTTAATACTATTTATGGGAGAGAGTTAATAAGACACAACGTTAAAAAAGGTATCTGTGTCACTACAGATGATCTGACATGATACAGATAAGTGTATGAAACTTCTGAGTCCTTAGTTTTAGCTACTTAATTCAACAAGAAACAATTATACCAAAAAAAAGCATTCTGAGACTTTTTTCTTTAAATAATAATGTCAGCCAAAAGGTGAAGAGATGAAGTAGAAGATTGGAAAGCTGCAATACTTGGGTCTCCCAGTGACCTTATACTGGCTATTGGGTACTGGATACTGGATACTTAGGTTTAGGTTCCACAGCCTGAAACATGACAGCACATCTCTTTCCTCTTGTAGCTGCAGACTGGGGATGGCTCTCCTGGCTTGCACTTTCGGTATCAAAATGCAGCTTCGGTTTATCTTTGCCAGCAACAGGACCTGGTTGTCTGGCTTAAAGAAAAGTTTCCCATAGAATAGAAGATTAGTAGCTTCTCTGACCTCTCTCTTTGTTGAAGGCAAACGTTCCTGTCAACTCTAACTGTAGCTGATTGACAAATTCATTTCTGATGTTATCGTGAGGAAGGACATAAATGCTAGAAATTTGCCTCCAGATCATGCGGTCACCCTCACACAAACACGGGCACACCACTTTAGCACATAGTCATTTTTTTTGATCTATCTGAGGAAGAAACTTTCTGCAGAAGGATCTGCACTCCCATTCAGATCTACTCAAAGGTATTTTTTGTTAGAGTCATTCAGAAAAAGTTCCAGTAAGGAGTAGAGTGTTTCCATTACAAATAATAAAGATCATGACCATATCTTAAACTATGTGAGTCCACCACTTAAATATAGGTCATGATATTACCACAGTCAGCAGCCAGAAAACATCATTTGCAGAGTACATAAAATTGACCGACCATATCAAACCCAAAATATATATTCTTATCTCTACTGGTACTTTATTTAAAGTTGAATATATTATATATGTAAATAGGTAGGCCACTACTCTAACAGATTAAAGCAATCCATAAACCAGAATCCAATTGACAGCTTTCTCTCTCTCTCTCTCCCTTTCTTTCTTGTGCGTGCAAAAAGTTGAGTTGCTTCTGCTTCCTATCCTTTCCCTTCCCTTAGCAAGAGTTTAATTTCATTGCATTCAACAGGCCATAACTCATCTGAAACCTCGCCATTTCTGAAATTGCACATGAACATGCAGATAGAGACTCTAAGTGGGCATAATCATAATTTTTTAATTAATACTATTCAAAGTTCTTTTTCTTTATAACATTAGCAGATGGTTTACTTGTGTTATTGTAATACGTGCCCAAATGAGTCAAAATAATTAACAACATACAAATTATTAAGTACTTATGTGCATTGTCAACATTCCCCAAATCTATTCCATCTTTTCTGAAGGAAAATTGAACCACTAACTCATGTAATTAATGCTATCAACTATTACATATCAATTGCATCTAATTAAATAGTATTGTAATCTTTAAAATATGGTCATTGGAATAATCTTGCCATTATTTTAATTAATGAATAGAATTACAACTCTGCTGTACTGCATTTTGTATACAATAGTATGTCATAATAACTGGATCACAATCAAGGGACCAGAAATCCTCGTTACATTCTTATCCAAATCAGTGAGTTACTTTTTATAATCAGGAACAAATTATATCCCTTCCTTATTCCTTAATTTACTTTTCTGTATAGTGGATATGATAAGCACTTAGACACACAGGTGGATCGGTAAACAATGAAATATATTTTTAATAGACATATGTCGTGTAAAAGTGCTTTTCCTAGACCTTCCTTGCTTTGCTTCTTATTTACCCCAAGTGCTGCTGTACACAACAGAGGCTAAAGCATTTAGTTCCTACATCCTTAACAATACCATTGCCCAGAGCACTTCAAAGCATATGTACTTTGAATACATTGTGGTTAGAGCTGCTGTACGAAATATGAAGATTTTCATTGCTTCTCTGTTCAAGAACAGATATGCAGAGGAGTAATTGTACAGAGGAAAGAACCAAGTTTTGTCCTTGCCTTGTTTTCTAAATGGGATATCTGTCATCAATAGCATATGCTTAATGGAAATTGAAGGCTTAGTAATTAGGTTTTGATTTCATTTCTACTCTGCCATTTGATCAGATGGCTCCTCTAGAACGCATAATGAATTTTGCAGCTTTAAAGCACCTGTATTTTACATTCACAGCTGTAAGTGAACTTTGTTCAGTATCCTTTATTATCTAAAAAAAAAATGCATGAATGGATTACAGATAGATATGTGTAGGCAGGGATCTCAAATATAGATATGGGAAGTTTTTGGACACAGGTAACACTTACTGCTATCACTGAGTTATTTTGTTAATCTTGAAACAATCTTTGTTAGTCTTTGTGTGCCTGTGCTATAGAACAGCATCATTCCGATTCTTTTCTAATCCGTAAAGAACACATTACAAAAACACAAGGGGTTAAATTTATTTCTAGGTATGGGCATCAGGATGTGCTCCATGCTTCACTACTCATGCTTACTAGGTCTGCTAAATCTCTTATGGTCCAAGGGCCCAAATGACTACCAGATGCCAGTAGTATTCTCCTATGACCGTAATTTAGACACACACACACTTTATTTTTCACAGCTGCACTTCTGCTTCGTTCACTCATGCTGCTGTCTGCAGTTTCCTATCAACAGTACAATATATAAAAATTTTTCCATATGCAGATTGACCTTGGCTTAATAGTTCATTTATTAACCAGCAAAATAGCTTTCCAGTGCAGCAATGCACACGCACACACACACACACACACACACACACACACGCACACAAACACCTGCAGTATAAATATGAAAGTGTATTGTCTGCAGCTGCTGCTCTGGAACATGATCAGTAGCTATTGTTCAAATCCTGCCATAGGAGGTCTTGAAGCTGAACAATCCCAGTTCTTGATGTCAGTCATTCCGTTTCCACTCTCCTCTCTTTGCACATGGCAGGACTGTGTGCTGAGCTTTTAAAGGTGCGCGTGCAGTTGCTTTGGGGTACTCAGGGCAGCAGCATGGTTAAGGGGAATTTCAGGCACTAATTCTTAGTCTTCTGTTGTGCACAGTTGCACTGCTGAGAATTAGGGATTACACCAGCAAGATAGTCTAGCAAAAGCTATCTTTTACACTGTGCATATTTAGCACATTTCGCCAGGGCTTTGGTCAGTGTATCTTAAGGACTATTCAAATTCAGTAGTGGAGAAAAAACAAGGATACTTCAAAGGTTTTGGCAATCAAACCCTTCTCAGCCTCTACCTCTAGAGTATGTCTTTAACCTGAGTAACTCCTGTCAACTGTCTGCATCCTTGAAGTCCCTCTGTTGCTCTAAGCTTTACATGAATTTAAAGAACACTTCATACTATCACAGAAATTAGACATAAGAGATATTAAGTCATCCTGCCCTTCCTCAGCTGCTGAAAGAAGCCTTATACCTGGCATACAGTTCAATGCTCAATAGCAATGTCTGGCCCAATAGCAATGGGTCTGTTTAGCAAAAAAAAAAAAATCTGTGCTTAGGACCTGACATCTGTTCAAAACATGTTTAGGGGGGTTTTACTTCAGACTAGCTCTAGCATAGCAAATAGGTATGGCCCTGGAGTATGTTTTCTGGTTCAGTTTAATCCAAAAGGACTCTAGTCAGCATGCTATGAGATTACTCCATGATGGAAACCAAAGCAGAGTAAGGAAGTACAATAAGGAGATTAAGTTCCATACCTCACTGTGTTAATCCAGGCATGCCTGGTGAAACCTCCCTTTGATGACCATCTCTAGATGTAGTGGACCCATCACCTCCCAAGGTTTATTAAAGTTGCTGTTTTGTTTTCGTCTTGACAGCCAGTCTAACATGTAACTACTTGATTTCACCTCATCCATCCATGGTCCATTCCACACACTTCCTGTTCTTCAGTATGTTGAAAATTAAGATATTCACGGTCATACATTTCCAGAAAGCTTTGGATACCTGAACTATAAACTAAAAGGAATAAAAACAGAAAGATCAGTCTGGCTTCTCAGTCCTTCAGCCTTGGCGACTTCTGATAACACAGACAGTACTGCTAGGCCATTCTCAGAAACTTCAAGTGGAGCCACTGAAGTTGGGCCACTGAAACCACGTGATTTTTGCACATTATTTCAAATTATAATTCAGTGAACACTAAATCCAGCCTATGAACCCAGCAAGAGTTCATTTTCTTTCCCTTAATTGTGGTCATTAACATTACAAACAATTGCCCATCTCTCTTCCAGGACCACTGATTCTATGCATTTAAAACACTTACTTGTTAACTCTTGTATTGCTTTTAGAAACCATAGACTTAAAAGCACATTACTCAGAAACTCAAAAATATTTAATCATTGAACTGCTACTTTGTTAAAATTCCTTTCTATTTCAGCGCTGCTCCTACTTAGTTATGGCTTCATTTCATTTGGCTTCTTTAAAAGCTAATGGCTTGATTTTTAGTCAGAAGAATGACTAATTGCAAAAAAGGCATGGGAGAAAAAAAGATTTATTGGACTGCATGCTGAAAGCTGGAAGAGCAGTTTTCACACTGTATAAAGCTACATCCTCTGATTTATTTCCCAGACTGTGTGCTGGCAGTCTAAGTAAACTGTATTTGTTTAGTTCAATACTTTGGATTCATTTGGGTCCTCACAGAGAAAAAAAAAAAAACCCAAAACATAGGAGTGTATCCTATCTGTAAGAAAAATCTGTTTATTTTGCTGTACCACAAGAGCTTGCTTAAATTTTTAAACAGGACTTCTGATAGTCAAAAGAAAAACAACTAGAGGAGGGTATTAGCCAAAATATCTGTCTGCTAAACAGAACTTGTAAATCCTGTCAAACAACTAAAGGGCAATGCACTGTCAAATCATCAGACTGCAGATCCCTGCCCTGTGGTTTGCTGTCTTTTAGAGAAGGATGCAAACTGTTTAGCTTCCCCAAACCTTCCCCCTCCATCTGCCTACTGACCCATGCAGCTGCCTTAGCATTCGTTCCACTGGAAGCTTCATGCCTGCTTTGATAGAAGAAAGTAAAATGTTGCAATGACAACAGCTTCAATGGGACTGAGAAAAGAATGATGGAGACGAGTAAATGAGTTGAGTCTATGGATAGCTGAGAATTGGATGAGAAAACTTTGTGAATCACTGTGTACCAGAACTGTCAGAACAGAACATTTTAGGAGAAAAGTGAAAAATACACACAAGTCCATAAACTAAAATTGCTGTTTGTGACACCATTAGGAAGGGGAGAAAATATATGTGAAGAAGATGCAATGAACAGAAATACAAGTATCCAAACACAGAACGCAAACATAAATGCTTAACCTGCTAAAAATCACATTAACTTCTACTGCAACCAGCTCATAATAAAAGAGCCTCCTTTGCTCTTGACCATCATTTCCTTCACCCCAGCATTTAGTGAAAATGCATTCTACGTGGTAATCGAGCTTGCTTTTCTTCCTTCCTCTTGGGCCTATAAGGTTATTTACAAAAGAACATTTAAAATAGTACCAATGTGATGGATCCCTACAGAACAGTTTCCTCAAATATTCATGCAGGTAATCTCCTGAAGGGGCATATCCTGACTAGTGAGCTTATGCAGGATTCACCGAGGCAGGACAGGCAGTACGGACGGTTAATTTAGAAAATCCGCAAGCCACTATACTTCATCAGAAAGTATAGAAAATAAGTTTACTTTACCCTGCGTAAAAATGAACTTTCTCTGGAAGTTCAGCGCTACAAAAAATACCCTCAGGTAACATTATGCACAATTAACAAATCTTCAGGTGAGATAAAAGAGACATTACCTGTGATAGGCTGTGTTACAGCCTCTGCGTTTTGTTGCATATTATAATCCTGCCTTGTGTCTCTGTAGACAACTCAAGCAATCTGTCATACATAACATCTTGGGAGGCAAGGTTGAGATCAGAAGATTTTTAGGCAACTTAGAGACAGTGTAGCAATTAGCTATGTCCAAATTTAAAAAGCCATCCAACCACAAACCCTGGATTCTTTTCAGTCTGAAGCAATACCCTTTATCCCCCATTCTCACCATACAAAGTTAGCTCTGTTTATTCCTGCAGAGATCAAGGGCTTCTCATTATTTTTGGTGAAACTCAAAGTTTAAAGGAGATGACTATTCTATTCAATGATAGTAATCTCTTTAATCAAAGTGAGTTGAGTTCAATAGTACAATATTTACTGCTGACGTTTTAGAACAATTTGAAGCCTTTGCTTTTGAAGACAATGCTGTAGTGTACAAAGCCATAGTTAAGAATCTGTGAGCAATTAAATTATAAACTCTACTGAAAATGGTTGCAACTAAAGCATTTGGTAATTTTCTCTGAGCAGAAAATTGCCAGAGAAAGTCTCTGCATAATATACAGTATATTACATATACTCAGTTTCTCTTCTGAAAGCAAACACATACACTCACTATATACAACAGCATAGTCTGACAGAAACATACGGTTACTATAAGTGCAACTGAAGTCCAGCAGATAGATCACTGAAAAATGGGCAATGTCAGTCCTATTCCTTGTCCCTACCCATTTGCTACATGGCCTTAGGAATGTTACTTTATCCCCTTCTCCCTGCTCTTGTCTGTCAGCTGGTCTTTGGAGACTACTGGGATACAAATTCCACTGGTTAAAGGTAGTAATTTATGAAGTCACCTGCTTGCTTCTTAAGCCATTGCATGAAACATACAATGTTTCTCCTCATTTCCTCACTGATGCTGTTACCCAGAATATGTAACATCTCCTTTTATACCCCCAAACAAGCTTCCTCAGTGAAAGTTTGTCATTAAGGTCCTACTAAGACAATCTGTCATTAAAACTATTAAGTGCATTCATTAAAACTATTAAGTGCTGACATCCCACAGTCTATTTTGTCGATAGATGAGGACCATACAGTTTCAAAGCCTTTCTGCTTTCCTACTGAAACAATTTCTCCTTTTTTCTTATTTCCTTTTTCAAAGGAGCACAAAACCCCATGGTGTTTGCTTTGCAAGAAATCACCTTCAGGACTAGACTAGCATGTTTGCTTATACTGTTCTCAGACCAACAATGACCATTTACCTAACTTACATTACTGTAAAGATAACCTACATGCATAAATTCCTGTCTATCTACACCAACACACCCTTTAACACTATTACGATGTAGTTTTAGCTGGGAAAATTATCTGGTAGATGTCTGCAGAAATTACTGGACCAGTATTGACTTTGTTGCAAGTAAAATATTGATGAACGTCTGAAGAAAACAATCTTTAAGGCCTATTATAGGCCTGTTCTACTACAGGCCATTCACTATTCAAATGCAAGTACAAAAACAGTCGCTCCCAGAAATTATCAAGCTGCACTTCATAGACAATTGCACACATTATCTAAAAGAAATGGTGATACAAACAGCATTCTATTTCCAATTTGACACAGTAGATATGGCCCACTGCTCAAGGTGCCATACCTCAATTATCTAAAAGGACGACTTCAGCAAATGCACTCCATTAAGGCCTAGCTTCTATCAGTCATGATAGAAGCCCAAGGCAGGAGAAAAATAATTCTAAAGTCATAAAAATCTTGAGTAATAGGTTAATTCCTATTAACCTCAAGCTATACTGGAGGTTTGTGTTTTATTTCAATAAATAGTTAAAGCTTACTTAGCTCCTCTAAACCTCTCTAGCTCCTATTTTCTTAGCAGAAGTCTAACATCTCCTCAGCATTCAGTCCAGTTAACCCTTGAGCTTTGTTTCAACTACATCATAGTTCCTCTGATCAACAAAATGTACCTCCCCAGTTCTCAGCTTAGTGGTAGAACTAATTGATCTCTATTCTTTTTCAAGTATTCCAATCAAAAAGCAAACAGGCCACTATTTCTGCTACCAATGACTTAGTTTCTTCTCCCATTCACTTCTGTCAGGAAAGATCTTTAAATTTCAAAAAATGTAGTCCAAATAAGTGCCCACTAGTTCCAGTCTTCTCTAGTACTCACCTGATCTCTTTCAACCTCATTTAAAACGAGTCAGAGATGCTTAAAGAATCAGATTTAGCTCTCTCCAGACAATACCAGATATACTAAACTACCCTGAAGAGACTCCTGTATTTCTGTTTCAATGCTAGCCAGAAAGAATAAAGATTATTATTTGAAATGTTAAAAAGTGAGCTAAGATTCTATCTGCATTTAAATTAAAAGCATAGGAAAAGTGAGACACAACACGAAGTCTTGATTCTTATGCTTTAGTCAAACTGACTCAGCTATGCTTGGTTTTAAAACTATTCAATTATTGGCATCAGTTCCACCGTGAAAAAAAAAATCTGAAAAACTTCTTTCATTTTACTTGTCCCTGGACTCTCATATTTTACATATTTGTGACCACTGTTTTCCTGATTTTATTTTTATAATGAAAAACAAGTGATTTGGAATTCTGTTACTCTTTTCTTTCACCTGATGAAATACCTCAGATCACCAGGGCAATAGTACCATGCAGCAGGAGGTAAGGAGGCAAAGACCTGTGAACATTGCCTAGGAGAGCAGACTTCCCCTCTCTCCCACCTGTAAAACTGCCAGTTCTCAAGGTGTTGGTCAAGGATGAGATAAAGGGGTGGGCTTTGCTGAATAATTACTGGCAGTAACTTTGTCTGGTTACTTTAAATGTTACTGGTAGATGTAGCACGCAGATCTGTAGAAAGAGATATGTTTGGGCAGCTTAAATACCTACGTGAATTTCAATTGCCTCCATTACCTGTGGCTAGCTGAGAGCCTACTCTGAAAGGATGAAGCAAACACCATGTGTTAGCATTACAGATTTCCAGCATGTCAATTTTTTTCCTTTAATCCAGAAGCTTTCTGTCACAGATGATGCACAAACCAGCCCTTTTGCTTACCAATCAAGTTAACATATGCTTTTAGCTGATGAATGCATGCTTTCTAGTACCCAGAGCTACAATAATGTGGTTATTTTGGAATCTTCTGC